TCAGCAATGAAGCTTGGGGGACCTTAGGATGGTGAGAGACTTAGTTGGCTTCTACCAACTAGGTACCAACAACACATAGGAGCCAGCTGTGACAGAGGTGTCCAGAGAACACTGACAAATGTCTTCTGGGGAACAAAGGGTATAAACTAATACCTGGCCTCTGAGGACCACCACAGCCAGCTACACAAAGAAAGAACAAAACTAGGATTAAAAGACACACATTTAAAAGAAATAAGGACTTAATGCTACAAACAACTCTATAAATTTAAAGTCTTAGATAGAATGAAGCAATTCTTTAAAAGCCAGAACTTATCAAACTCTCCCTAGGAAACAGATAATCTAGGTAGTGCAAAGCCTAGTGAAGAACTTGAGTCTGCTGTTAAGTCTTCTGAGGAGGTGTCTTCAGGTTCACGTGGAATATTCACAGCACCGATTCCATGCTAAACCCTCCCAAAACACAAGATGCCAACTTCCCAAATCACATTATGAGGTCAACAAATTAGCAAAAGTGGTAATGCATGAACCAATACTCAACATGGTTAGCCATCAAAGAAACACAATTTAAAATTACTATGCATCTTATTCAAATGGCTAAGACTTTAAAAACTGACAGTGCCAAAAACTGGTAAAGATGCAAAACTATTAGAACACTAAAAGCAGATGGTGTAGACATAGAAATTATGTAGAGTGTGTTGTTCTTTCTGTTCCATAAAAACACTTTAGGAAATAGTCTGGTCACTTCTTAAAGCTTGAACATACATTCACTGTAAGTTTTAGAAATCTGCCCTGTAAATTATTTACCAACAGTTAATGAAAGTTTATGTGTAGGCTTAAAAGCCTGTGCAGGACACGCTCTATAGTAGCTCTGCTCATAATTACCAAAGACGAAGCAACCATCCTTCAACCCGTGCAGGGAAGAAAACCTGTGCTAAGTAACAGGTACTTTTCAGCAATAAAAAGGAATGAACTTTGATACAAAGAACAATTCAGATAAGGCATTACAGCGAGTAAAAAAAGCCATTCTCCACAAGAGACAAAAATCCATTTTGCATATTCTAGAAAAATCCAAATTAACAGTAATGGAGAGCAAATCAGTGGTTGCCAAGCCTTAGAAACTGATGTAAGGTAAGCCCATACACAAGCAAGGCATGAGGGAGTGTTCGGTATGATCTTGTGCCCTCACTGCACTGTATTCTATCTGTACACTGACTGTGGTCATAGTTAAATTGGATCGACATCCGTATCATAGTTCACAAAACAGTATGCCAAATACAATTTAAAATTAACTGTTAAAAGATGATTATATTCGTATTAAATGGTGATGGGAAGACTGAAGCACAAGAGCAGGGGCTCCCACAGCCACTTCTCTGAGCTCTGCCATATCGTTAAGTGTCAACTCCATTCTGCCCCTCTCTGTGACTCCCCATTTTGGAGTTGGGGCAGAGGAACTGGAACTCAAGATCCTCCTGCTTCAGCCTCTCCAGTGCTGAGATGACAGACCTGTAATCAAGAGGCCAGGCTGTAACTTCTCTTTCTACATGCAATGAAGCAACTGAATGTGTATGTTTAACTTGTTATAATTCTTTTGCTTTAAGAAAGACAAGAGCAGGGGGCCTGGAGAGATGGTTCAGCGGTTAAGAGCACTGACTGCTCTTGCAGAGGACACCCGTATGGCGGCTACAAACCGCTCTTAACTCCAGTTCCAGGGGAATTCGAGGCCCTCTTCTGATCTCCATGGCATTGCTCAACACGGGTGCACTCACATACATGCAGGCTATATACTCATACACATAAAATAAAAATAAGATTAAAGGAAAAAGAAAAAAAGAAAGACAAAAGGGAGTAGTCCACCCCTTTATCCACAGTCCCACTTCCCAGTTCCTGTTACCCACCATTGAAGAGTAAATGAAAAACTCCAAAAATAAACCATACATAAATTTTAGACTGTATGCAGCCTAAGAAGTATGATGCAATCTCACTGGCCATGACACCCAGGCCACAGGCTGTCTGGCACACTCACTTGCCCTACCCACCCTTCTCACCTAACTCACTTGGCTGTTAGCTCAACTGTCACCACAGGTGTGGTGCTTAGGTTCAAGCACCCCTCATTTGTAACTAATAATGGCTCCAGAGCACAAGAGTAGTGATGCTGCTGACTTCAGTGTGCCAAAGAGAAACCACAAAAAGCTCTTCCATTAAGAGAAAAAGATGAAAGTTCTCAATTTAAATAAGGAAGAAAAATATTTATATGCTGAAGTTACTAAGTAAGATCTATAGGCAAAATTGTAAAGAAAAGATTCATGCTTGCTTCAATGTGACACCTCAATCAGTAAGATTTATGTCCACAGCTCATGGCGAGTTAAGATGGAAAAAGGCTCAACTATAGTGTTAATTACTATCCACAGGTTAGACAGCCACTGGGGTGGTCTTGGAACACATGCCCTACAAATGAGTGGGGGACACTGTAACTGGTTTTTATGAGTATTTTTTAAAAAGGGGTCTCTCTGTGTAGCCCTGGCTGATCTGGAACTCACTAAGCAGACTAGGTTGACCTCAAACTCAGAGATCTACCTGCCTCTGAATCCTGAGTATATGCCACCATGCCCGGCTTGAACCTTTTCCTTTTTTTTTTTTAATCTTTTTGAGGGAGGGTCTCCCTGTAGCCCCAGCTGGCCTGGAACTTGCTCTGTAGACCAGGCCTGCCTCCATCTCACAGAGACCCACCTGCCTCTGCCTCCTGAGTGCTGGGACCACACCAGGCCAGCATTTATTTTAAGTGCCTGACTGGTAGCAAGATAAGACCTTGGGGTCTTGGAGGGGAGAAAGTGGCTCTAGAGAATGTCAGCACCCACCCTGTGAGTGTGGAAGGAGGGCAAAGTCTTTGTGGACCCTACCTTGGTTGAACATGGCCAGTCACATATTACAGGCAAGCACTAGGAGCTCTTGAAAGTACCAGAGCTCTTTGAAAGTACCAGACCACTTAGGTGCCCTACTTACTAGGTGTTTTCCTCACATCATTAGAGATGATTGTGATCTGTTAATAGGGAATTTCCCATGTGTGACCTGATTCCCAGGCACTGCAGGGTTCACTTTTGAGCATTGTAGACAGAGGAGAATATGTCCTACCAGCTTCTCTACAGCCTAATATCAGAGCATGAAAAATGAAAAAGACATGAAACAGATTTGGGTCAGGCTCCTGCAAGTGCCTCCTAGTAGTTTTATATCTTCCTGCCTGAACTTTAGTCTTAGAATAGCAGAATGTTTTGAAAACATCTTATAACATGGTTGCTTATAAGATAGCCATGAGCTGTGCATGTACCACATGCCTGGAATTCCCCATTCTCAGGGCCAAGCTCCTCACATAGGCCATGAGGGGGTGGGGACAGCACAGGATAGGTTAGGTTGACTACAGAGACTTGTGGGTCCTAATTGTTTTTTTGTTTGGTTGTTTTGTTTTTGTTTATTTTGAGGCAGGGTCTCCCTGTTGCCTTAGCTGGCCTGGAACTTGCTCTGTAGACCAGGCCTGCCTCTGCCTCCCAAGTGCTGGGACTAAAGGCTTACGCCACCACGCCCAGATTGAACCTTTTCTTAATGCTTTAAATATTACAATACATCTAGACATTTTCTTCAGTTACTACAAATTATCCTAAAATTCTGAGTAAAAAACTTAAATACAGACCCTATTATGTTCCTAGGCATTTAAATGTATATTCTGACAATTATTCAAATAAAAACTGATCCCAAAAGTCACCATGTTTAGTCACTTTTCAAAATCATAATGACTGAGAAGTGATGTTTAAACAAACAAAACAAAAACAAAAAAAAAATTCTTTTCTCTAGAACTCTATCCTATTGTATTAAAGTTTTCCACTGGTTATATTTTAAACTGTAACTGATACTGAAAATTTCTTCACTAAATTTGGCTGATTTCCTATCAGTAAAGCCACAGTAAATAAACAAAGTCTTCTCTAGTGCTAGGCCTCTAAGAATGGAGTGTGCCCACTCCCTTCCATCTAACAGACATGACTTATTAAATATAGCAGAGTCCAAAGATTTATCACTGCCAGAAATTATATATGGGCCCAACAATAAGATTCTGATTAGTGTCACAAAAGATCAAAATATGAATCAATTATAAACTTATAGGGGTTGATTTGTAATTAGAGTCTCTAAATATAGTTCCCAGAATTTCACAGAAAAAGATGAGCTCTCTAGTACCCACTCATGGATAAGTGAAATAATTTCAGCTTTAGAAAACTCAGCTGTATCTAGTATGACCTCATTTATACAGGAGGATCCTCACAAAATTTATTTTCAAACATGCATTTAACTAGAAGGGTGAAAACAGGTAAGGGTGATACTATAACAATTTACATATGCAATTACAGAAATAAGGACCGATTGGAATTATGTAACACTAGTGTTATAACACAAGCAAACAAAAACATGCAAATCCAAGTGTTAAGTATATGCACCAACAAGAACACTGAGCGAGCAGAAACAAAACTACCTTAGAAAATGAGGCAAACTGAGAAGTCTAAGGGTGCAATCTTAGTGAGCACCTGTCCACATCCAGTCTCTTATTTAAAAAGATTTCTCTCAAACCAAAAACATTTTTAAGACTTAACTTTTTAACAAAGAGGTTAATTTTCCCTACTTCACTATTAAGAAAAGTAAATTGTTTCTGGGCACCAGAGCATCAAAGCAGAATAAATGTGTGATGCAACAAGACTTAAAGCACAAGTGTAAATGTCCTCGATTCCTGTGTCTTCTCAACTACCTCCACAGCGGTGTGTGATGATGATTATACTTTGCAACTTTGAAAACATGCACGTGGGTAGTATTTCCAGCCTCCACTCTCAAACACTGCTTCTACCTCAACTATGTGCAACCCAAGGAGACTATCATCAAATCACGGAAGGTATTAGGTCACAGTCCACCAGCTCTGAAGATTGTGAGATGATGCAAACACAACATTATCATTAACAAGACATACTTACGTTCTTTCCGGTGCTCAACTAGACCTACAGCCTGCTTTGCTGAGCACTTTGCAAACCAGTTGTCCCCGAGCAAAACAGTGACTTCATTGGTATGGACAAGTTTTCCTGGCATGAAGGCAAGAGGGCCAAATGGTACCTATTGGTTAAAGAAGACAAAAAAAAAAAAAAAGGGGGGGGCAAAATCTTTAAAATAACTAAAACATACATTTATATTAATATTACTCAGTTCTCATCTATATACTAGGAAAATAAAATGCTAATTTCACAGAAATTTAGCATATTAAAATTCACCATGAGTATCTACAGAAAAGTGCATTAGGCTAATAAATTATGTTAAAACAGGAAACTAAGGGGCTGGCTGGAGAGACGGCTCAGCGGTTAAGAGCACTGGCTGCTCTTGCAGAGGACCCGGGTTTGATTCCCAGCACCCACATGGTAGCTACAAACCGTCCTTAACTCCAGTTCCAGATGAATCTAAAGCCCACTTCTGACCTCCGTGGCATTGTACAATAGGGGTGCACTCACATACATGCAGGCAATACACTCATACACATAAAATTAAACAAAACAAACAAATAAAAAAAAACCAGGAAACTAAATCCACATCATATCTGCATGATAGCTCTTAGAAAAGTGTTGTTTCTGAATATTTATACATTTCATTATTTCTTAAGTCTAATTGAAACCACTCTG